ATGACGATTCCTTCGTTTGCTTGCAAAAGGTTTCCTGGCAGATGCTTTTACTATAAACATTAAATAGCAGCGGTGACAAAATGCATCCTTGTCGTACTTCTCATATAGAACTAAGAGAAGCCAAAGGATAAAAGCCCAAGTATAAAAGCGCCAAAGAAGTGAAGATAAAAATTAAATACAAAAAAGAAAATAAGAAGTGTGGGCAAAGAACAACCTATACTAGGCGATTCATATATTGATACTAAAAATAAACGAGACAACCGTGCTGGATGTAAGAAAAATTATTACCTACCCAACTTGTTGAGAACTGGTTACAGTATGTAATTTGCTAATTTTTGGTTAATAAAAGCTGGTCTGAATTTGACAACATGTGTATGACAAAGAGAAAATAAGAAAAGCAGAAAACAAGGTAGCTTAACAAGAAGGCAAAACTTTTGCTAATTATTGGATTATTGAAGTATATTCCTGCCTTTACATCCTCTGTAGTTTTGGATCCATCTGTTTACCAGATCTTACCCTGTTGGTTATGGTTCTCCTTATTTCTCCATACATTCCTGTCTGGAATAGACACCTTATAGGAATTCTTACAATTGTTATTTTTTTGTCATGTGATCCGGTTTCTCATTAAAAAAAATGTGCTTCGTCCAGTTCTTGTCATACTTATTTTCCCTGTTCCTTCATTGCAAAATTTCAGTGATTGTTTTATTCTGTAGGCTCCCAATCTTGCTTGTCCTTCTATTATCAAATGAAAGAGCTAGTATAGCCTCCATAGCTGCTGTTGGAGTAGTACGTCTGGCACCACGTATCCCCATACACGCAAGTGCTTGCAACTTGGTGAGTTTGGCTTTTGCAACTGTTTGAAGTGTTTTAGTCCACCACATCGTCGCTGCATAAGTAATTAGGGATTTGATCACCATGGTATACACCCTGTGCATCATGTCTAAAGCTTGACCTTTATAAGTGTTTTAAATGCACTGCTTGCTATTATTTTAAATTGCCGGTTCTAAGTAAGTGTCGAGTCTAGTTTAAGCCCGAGATACTTGACCTCTTTCTGTGGCTGAATTACTTATCCCTGAAGCTTTAGAGAACCTAATCCCTCCAGTTTTCGTCTGCGTATGAAGGCGACTATGGTGAATTTTTGAGGACTTGTATTTAGCTTATGGCAAGTCCATAGTCTCACTAGTTCTAGGGCAAAGCCCTATAACTAGTCAGACTGGCTACAAACAAGGGCAACAAACATTAGGCAACATTTGCCTCTAAGGTTCCTATTAATCCGTCCACTACCAGATTCTACAGCAATGGAGGCAGAATTCCCCTGTGGATATCCTCTGTCGACCCAGGCCAACAAGGTCTCTTCATGAATAGTAGTATTTACCACTCTATTCCTGATCATAGATTCCATGCAGTTCAAACATATGTCCTCGACTCTTTTGCGTCTCAGAACATTGGTTATGGATGTTATCAGTGTCTTGTTGAAAGTATATATTCACTTATTAAATCAAATACTTTAAAGGAAAAAACTTTCGATCAGTACGTATTGCTGGTTCTGACATATGAAACTGAAACATGAGCTTTTAACAACATAGTACACAAACTTCAAGTGGCTCAAAGACCTATGTAACGGAGAATACTCGATATTAAGCTCAGCGATCGCAAGTCCAATAAAGAAATAAGAAGACGAACAAAAGTTACAGATATAACCCAAAAGATTGCCATGTTAAAATGGATCTGGGCAGAACACATAGGACGAATGGAAAATGACCGTTGGACGAAGCAAATTACTGAATAGCGCTTAAGAGCAAACAAGAGAAGTAGAGGCAGACCTCAAACCAGATGGACTGAGGACGTTAAGTAAATAGCTGGTCACAAATGGATGCTTAAAGCAACAAAGAGAAATGAATGGGCACACCTAAGGTCGGAGGCTTATATCCGACGATGGATGGAATAGCTGTTGATGATGATAGTTTTTTAATTTTTGCTCCAGTTAAATGTGTACACAATAATTATACCAGTAGCTCTACAAAATCAAAACACCATCAACCTGCAGAGTTGAAAAAGAGTATCCGGATGAAACATAATACAGGAAGTTAAAGAGCTATAGAAAACAAGCGCCCGAAGAAAAGAATGAAGATGTTTCTATACGAAAGTTTGTTTTATTTGATTTGTCCAGGTTTTAAAAAAATGATGAAGTATGTATTTGATTTATTTTTTAGATTTATGCTACCCTGCCATGATACTACTGAATTGACAGATCTACTTTTTTGATTACCTACTTTACAAGCAAATTGTATGCCAAACAGCAAGCCAACACATAAGCAACACTCATGAATAGGGGGACAGTTGTTTATGTGATTGTAATGATTCTGTCGTTGATAAAAACTATGAACTATATATCTAATATCATATAATTAGTAATATGTATAGTGATACTAAACGAGCAAATCCTGTGCAATAAAGTAGATGACGAAAAGATAATCCTAAACAATGAAAAAAACAAAAGATTAGGAACTTAAGCGATGCATATAAAATGCATCCATTATGCTTATGCCCTCCATATAAAAATATGTGCAAAATAAAATAAAATGCAAATTTCGGTTTACTGCAACATTTTCTGAAGACAAACCAATAGTAACTTGCCATAATTATTTGACATTGTCTTAGTATGAAAGAAAAAAAGGTTTTATATTAAGCATTAATTCAGGTCTCATATCTCAGGTCTGTCATAATTTGTTTATAAAAATGCTTTGTATATTAAATCGTGTAATCTTATTGAATTTTAAAGACAAATATTCATCATAGTATTTTAAAGGCACTGATAAAACAGAAAGAAAACGTCCAGGCAACAAAACAAAAGAAGACGTCGCTGCAAAAGTAAAAGCACACATAGAGCGTTTTTCTTCAGTTGTTACACGCGAACATGTACTTAAAGAAAATACTTAGACAGACATATACTATCCATAACTAAAATGTTTGACCTCAATAAAGGGCAGTACCTTCTAAAAGTCTGTCTAATCACAAATGGGGTGCAGACACAAACATTCTTCTACGATTGTATCACTCTGATTAGAAACAAACTGGATTAGGGATGTATATGCTACGAACCTGCTCCTAAAAGTCAATTGAACAAACTGAACATCATCCAATCTACAATATTTCGCATAGTTTTCAGAGCATTTAGAAGCACGCCAATTAGCAGCTGTCTTGTCGTAGCAGAAGAACCGCCATTAATTATTACAAGGTAATATTTTTCAATGTTGTGTTACTAACTATGTCAGTGCAAATGAAACCCTTTTTACAAGCTTAATAAGAAAAACTCTCCTACTCTGTATTCAAATAACTTCTCTCTCCTCCATGGAAAATTTAAATATCAAAAGTAGATTTTACCTTACTTAAATATTCTAAACATTCACACAATTTTTCTGAAATAAAACAACAATTCCAGTCTGCTATCTCCAGATATCCTACTTTTAAATTAATTGTTTTATTGATTCTCCCAAAAACAATAATGGTGTAGCTGCTGCACTATTTTCGAAGATTGCGAAGATACCGCAGAATTAAAAGCAATCTTCAATGCACTAAACCGATGTACCAGCAACGATATAAATTTTCCTATTATATCAGATTCTCTGAGTGTCTTAAAAGGAGTCAACAAATGGAGTCAAACAAATGTATCCTACTCATGCCAATTAAGCACAAATAAAAGATGTGCTCAAACACGTGGCAAAAATCTGAAATTCTTATGAGCACCATTCCATATTGGGATAAAGGGAAATAAAGCAGCTGATAAAGCATCCATAGAAAATGACAATTCCGATAATACAAAACATACAGTTTTCAGACCAAAAGACATTAAGAAAAACCTACAATAACAAAACTGGCCAAGTAAAAAAGAGCCAAATAGAAGCAAAGTTATTCAATTAGTCAATAACCAAGTAGTCCTCAACAGCAAGATCGACGGTAAAGATACTACACAATCTGAAAGAAGCTCTAATAGAGCTAATAAAGACATCAATAAAACAATATACTTTTTCAAAAATTGTAAGCCATATAACAAACTAAAATTTCACAAAATGTTTGTATTTTTTAAAACTGCTAAGAACATGTATAAAATAAATCGACGTGGCCTCAAATCAGCTACGAATTTGACATTTAAAGATAGTTTTTCAAAACTGTATTCCCAATAGTTAAAAATTAGCTTTTCAAAAAAAGAAAACTTGTTAACCATGTGTGAAAAACTTGTCATTCCTGAAGCTTTTCATCTGTAGTTTAATAGCCTTTTAAGTGATTTGGCAGTTGAGACATTTTGCCTGAGGCTCTACATAATTGTTGTTTTTTTATTTGACTAATTTTTGTTTAGTTTGTTTATTATTTTTTATGTAGATTTTACTTAATAAAATTAGTTATGAATCAGTAAAGAGTTTTCACGAAGTCCGATAAACAATATTAGCTTACAAGCCAAATTAGTAAGTTATATTTTTTAACAATTTTTTGGGTTTTTGTGAATTGTAATATTGCTAAAATCATGTAAAAACAGAGCATTCTATTCCCAAAATACGTATGTGTTATTTAATGCAATGGGTAAGCAAAAAATAATTTATACAAAATTAAGAAATGTTATGTAAACTTTAAATTCCTTACAACACCTAAACTTGTGTTTAGACTTTTTGCTTGAAACCCCACGATATTTAACTCCACTACATATAAAATAACATTGATCACCAATTAAAAAAAAAAACGTTTTGATATACCTGAAATATTTTTATTTCAAATTTTTAACCTCATGTATCCCAGCATTTGAATTTTATATGAGTTCATGTTTCAAATTCTTGTTTTTGTTAAAACTTACGAATTAGCGAGAGCTTTCAGAGAAAATGAGTAGCATTTTTAACCGGATACCCTCTTGTCTTATATCCTCTGCCTTTTATCTGTCCATAGAAAAGTTATTGTTCGACAAACTAGACAACAATTTGTGAAGTAAATGGTTAAAAAAATCAACTTACCATTGTTATTATTACTATTTCTTTGTTGAAGTTTATCGTCTCCCAATATAGCACTAACACTGAACTTTAATACGGGTTTAGAATCTTTAATACCGTCACTGAGTCTACATTGCAAAAAATTGCAGTCTAATCTACCACAGTTCGAGCATATCCTATTTCTTAAACAACTATTGAACCGTAGAAAAACGTCGTTTTTGTCAGCCTGCAAACTACCGGAAGACATCGGGGATAATCTGTCGTCTTCATCTTCCATCTTGTGCTGGTGGGGATTAGGGGAAGTTTTGAATTCTTCGGAATCTTTGCTAGTATCCAAATTTTCTGGAGAAATCTTACCGTTTGAAAGAAGATTTTCCATAGAAAAAGAATTGTGATGATTGTTGATGCTCTTCAACATCTTTTCTCTATGGCTGTTCAAATATTGCAACGTACTCTGATACATAATTATGCTTTAACTGGACAATCTCATACCGTACAAAAGCACGTGGTGGAAATGAATATAGAAAAGTGAGCAGGATGAGATTTACAAGCACCCTTCTGCGCAGTGGTAGCTATTTAACTGAACTGATATATTTGTAGTGAAAGCCACCCTTAGACCGGTACAGGGGGTTGGGCTTGAGCTATTTCAAGGGGTGGAGTTTTCTTTATATTTTGATTCGATTTTGTAGCGCCCTTAAGTTGCACATTTATGCCAGATATACAGCGATATTTCGGTTGATTTTTAAAGTTTGTTAGGAAATAATAACACATCAATAATAAATACTGAGTTTTTATTATTATTTTTTTGTTTTTGAGAAAGGAAATCGTTCAAATGTACAGCAATAAAATAATATATGATCGTATGAGATAATTTTGATACTTCTTTATTTTTTAACTTTAATATTAATAATACCTAAAGGAAACTTAAATTAATATTATTATTAATTACCTGAAGATACCTGTACGTCAATCAAGATATATACGCATGTTTTATTGACTATAATAAAGCATTCAATAAGGTATGACATAAACAGTTAATGAATGTCCTGATATCAAAGAAGATTGACTACAAAGACCTCAGGATTATATCAAATTTATACTATAAACAACGAGTAAAAGTACGTATTAACAAACAGCTGTCAGAAGAAATTGAAATTAGATGTGAAGTGAGACAGTATTGTCGCCAATTATTTTTAATGCCTACTCCGAAGAGATCCTGGTCTGGTAAAAGAGTATGGTCTAAGAATGAATGTCAAGAAGACGAAATTTATGAGAATATCGAAAACTCAAAGAAATAACGAGAATCTTCTAATAAATGGAACCAACGTCGAACGAGTGGACAAATATGCATATATGGGAACAATGATTAACTCCACAAACTATTACATTCAGGAGATCAAAATCAGAATAGAAAAGGCTAGAGCAATTTCAATAAAATGAGAAGAGTGCTATGTACAAGAAATTAAAAATTGGAACTAAGAGTTAGGTTGGCGAGGTGCTATGTTTTTTCGACTTTATTTTATGGAATGGAATCTTGGACCTTAAATGAGACATCAATGAAAAAACTGGAATCATTCGAGCTATGGATGTATAGAAGAATTCTGAAAATATCGTGGACAGAACACGTCACAAACAAAGAGGTTCTGAGAAGGACGAATAAAGAAATAGAAATTTTAAATACAATTAAAACAAGAAAATTGGAATATCTCGGAAATATTGCACGTGGAGAGGAATACACCTTGCTCCAACTAATTGTACAGAGAAAGATTCAAGGAAAGAAAAGCATAGGAAGGGCTAGAATGTCATGGCTGCGCAACCTGAGAGAGTTGTACGGATATACATCAAATGAATACAAATCAAATGTATACATACAATTGGGGAAAGAGATGGTGAAATGCTCTATTTCTTTTCCCGGTACACAGATGTCTCTGAAAATCTAAATGCCGACAGTTTATTCTCATTGATGCAGCGAGCATGTTGTGAAAATAAGTCCCGTTTTAAAAACATATATAATTTAACATAATAATTAACATATTTAATTACCATGATAATTTTTATATAATGCATGCATTTGTAGGCTTTACGTCATGTAACTTAGTCTGCGAGGTATTTTTCGACATATTCTGCCTTCTGATACTGTTTATATACAACATAACCTAGAAATCGTATCCTCTAATACTGTGAACTTCTTCCCGTGCTATTCACATGATGGTAAATGAGAGCAATGGTGAACTTGGGGAAGGGCAATATGGTGAAGGCCTTTTCCAACTCCCACCTGTGTGTAGAAACGGAGAAAAAATTGTAAATAGCTTGTACCAACATAAAAAAAGATGTTGCTTCCAAACAACAATCTGCTGCATTTTGGATAAACCAAAGAGAGCTAAGAGTTACACAACGAGCCATGGAACGTGCAATGCTGAACGTCAGGACTTCAAGACGTCATCGAAAGAACCATAACGCTTAAGTGGAACTGGGCAGGGCACTTAGCCAGAACACAAGATGGACGGTAGACAAGACGTATTATGGAATGGAGGCCCAGAAACTATAAAAGAACCAGACGACGACCACCGACTAGATGGACCAAAGATATAAAACGTGTAGCGGGAAATTCGCTACAAGCGGCCCAGTGTAGAGAAACACTGGAGAGAACTAAGGGAGACCTATGTTCAGCAGTGGACGCGATTGGCTGATTGATAAAAGAGAGCTAAGTCATTGTAAACTTTAATATGTGTTTGCAAACCAGAATACTTGCCACTTACATTACTGGCATTGTCGCAAGACTGGCTTCTACAGTTCTTAATATTTAATTTCAAAGACTCTAACATCCCAATAACTGTATCCTCAAGTTCTTGTGAGCTATGCCCAATGTTTTTATAACATCCCACGAATCTTTCCACGGGATTCCCTTTATTGTTATAATTTCTCAAAATCACTGTAAGTTGGTCATAGTGTGTTATATAAGGTGTTGAATCTACACTTATAGAATAGTATTTTGTTTGCATTAATTTTCCTAACAATTTCATCAATTACTAGATTGGACAAAATATTCAGTAATTCGTTACATACTGTACCTGTATATTTTGATAGATATGACGTTTTACCTTACCTAAATTTGCTCGTTTATTAATATGTTCTTTTAAAAATGGATCATATTCTAACAATAGTTCCAGTAAAACTAAATAGTTTTCATTCCGTTTTTCGTCAGTTGTTTCATGAGTACCTCTAAATGCCAATTCCCTGGTAGCCTGGTAACATAAAATGAACAGCGTGCATTTAATAATAATAATTTATTTATAAATTGTTAAGTTTCAAAGTTTATGATAAAATTTTTATTATTATATCATGAGGATTATTTTACTATAACACAGCCACCTTTACTTAGGTGGCTGTGACTATAACCATATGATTTCGGAACAGCACGCGCTTCGTGCTTACCGCACGGCAACCTTTAACTGTCCGGTGTTACAGGCCCGAATAGACCCCTGGTTAAACCGGCGCTGATAGTCAATGCGGCATGCTTGTAGTGCTTTCAGGATTTTGTCAAATTCTACCGTGTCAAAAGTTTTCTTCTTCTTCAAGTGCCGTCTTCGTTCCGAAGTTTGGCTATCATCAAAGCTATGCGTATTTTTGATGCTGCAGATCTAAACAGTTGGTAATTGGTGCAATTGTACCATTCTCTCAAGTTTTTCAACTCAGATTTTCAACTCATTCAGATAAAGAATGTATTTGAAATTATCATATCATTCTCTTGACAGAACTCTAAAAGTTTATCTCCTCTGTCGTTTCTTGCCCCTAAACCATATTCTCCCACATTTTTTCCGCTTTTTCCTTTGCCAATTTTGGAGTTGAAGTCTCCAAGGATAAGTGTAACATCTTTTGGCTTTGTAGACTTTAGAACTTGATTTATTTGTTCATAAAACTGCTCAATCTCTTCATCTGATTTATCTGCAGTAGGGGCATATACCTGTATAATATTAAGTTTTGCAGTTTTTGTATGCAGTTGTAGGAGCAGGATCCTGTCTGACACTGGCGAAAAATTAGTGACAGACTGTGTCATTCTTCTTGAAACGACAATTGCTACACCATATCTGTGATGTGGGTATTCATTTCCTGAGAAATAGATCATACCGTTGCTTGTCGGGACGTTGCCTGCACCCGACCATCTTGTATCGCTGATGCCTAGGATATCGATGTTTAATCTTTGCATCTCTTGTATAACGTTGTGAATTTTCCCAGGCTCGTACATGCTTCTGACGTTCCATGTACCAATATTTATTGTATTTTTATTGTCAAAAGTTTTATGAAAATCTAAAAAAGCCAGAACGAGTGATCGATTGTAATCGATAGTCTTTTCTATTATTGTTTTAATACTTTGTAGGTGATCATTTGTTCCAAATCCGGTACGAAATCTACTCGCTTGCTCTATTAGCTGACAGAAATCAACCGCAGACCGCAGACCGCAGCGACGGACCTACTGGTTCATATGGTTTCTTATGAGCTGTATGTCGAGTAGAGCGGCACTGTTGCCACCGCAAGCAGAACGTCGCCACTGCAGACCGCAAGACTGCACCAGAACCAGTAGTGTCGCCGACCGCAGAGTGACAACACGTATTTTTGCTGTTTCTGAATATATCTTCGTTAGCCATTAGATAATTTTTAATGAGTATTGAATAACTTCCTTCAAATTGTCTATTTTTAAATAGAGACCTAGTTGGTTTCCTTTTTCTTTTGTAATGCAAAAGTAAAAGATCGTCATCTTCTTCTTCCATCAAAAGATATAACATTAATTCATCGTTGTTCATTATGTCTGCCATCCTACTTATACGGCTTTTAATATTATACTATTATAAATTCCCATCGTGCAATGCTGTTGTCGCTGTTTTTTAGATGCAGTGCAGTTCTGCTCGGAATTGGTCTGACCGCAGACGACACTGTCGCTGCAGTCTGCGGTTTGCGGTCTGCAGTCTGCAGCCACTTTCCGAATTTAACCTATTGTTCTAAAGAGTTTGTATAGGTGACTAAGAAGACTTATAGGTCTGTAGTTTTCTAATTCATGAGGATCCCATTTTTTGTATAAAAGAATTACCTCAGCATTGTGTAATTTGTCGGGCATTTGTTTCTTAGGGCTAGTTTTATTACGTCTATTGTGATTTCCGGTAGTAGTTCTGATCCTTGGTTAACAATGCACTTTTTCCTCGTTAATATTTCTGATACTTGATCTTCTCTGCCATTTACTTTGTGTTGGCTTGTGTACAGCAATTTGTAAAAGTCTTCAACTATTTTAAAGGTGTCCTCTCTGTTGGTTGTAAGATGACCATTTCTATCTTTTAATCTTTATTATCTGCCTTGTCCCCGTTCTTAGTCTTTTTTTCGATACTTTAATACTTCTAGTGTTCTCAATGGTATGTTAGATTTGTTCTTGGTTGTATTTTCGAGTGTCATGTGTAACAGCTTTGGATATTT